ATGAAGCCTTTTTTCCCCCCTTTGCCGCTGCCATTGACAAACCCATACAAAAAGAAGAAACTAACCGACTATCCAATGGAAACTGTCAGGTGTACAACAGAAACTTGAAAAATGAGAAATATTTTCTCTAATCTCTATTAGTAAGTAATGTTTAAAGAAAGAAAAATAAAGAGGTGTATGTTGCCTATCTTTGACAATTAGGAGATGCCAGTCTTATCAGTCAGCTCCTGAATGCCTCTTTCACATTTGGATCATATAGTTCTAACCCTTGACATGGAATGTGTCTATATTTTTCATGGTGGTTCAAGAAATGTAATCCAAGGAGTTAAGCCAAGTTATATGGGCAAAAGAAGTGCACAAGTGTTTCAAGTCCAGGTTCTGCAGCAGCTGAAGGGTGATATCATGAAGCTTGGCTGAATAAAGCTCTTTGAAATTCATCTTCCTGATAGTGAGAGTCCACAGCAAATTTTTGTAATCAAATCTATTCTATGTAAAAGGATATTTGAGAGACCACAGAAGTAAACCTACTGTGATAATTCTAATACAGCAGTTTAGTGACAAAGTATTATTATAGTGGCACAAAGCTCACTGTTTGGTGATGCCAGTACAAAGTGTACTTTACATCCTTTTCACAATTTCTGTATTTTAGTATTAATGTTTTTCCTGTTACAAATATAAGCTTCCAGCTTTTTTTTCCAAATCTCCTCAGCTTTAATCTCTCTCACCCTCACCTTAACTGTTCTCAGCAAAAGCTTTAAAAAGCAAAACTAAAAACTACTGGCCAAGGCACAGTTTTCAACAGTCTTTATCTGCTGATCCTCTGGCTCTTGCCCCTCACAATAAAGGGCATTCATTCATCTCTCCCATCGTAAAAGCTCCAGTCTTTATCACCCTTTTCTCTACAACTACCACCCCCATCCTTCTTCTCCCTTTCATCTCTAAATTCATTGTTTACAATCACTGTTTCAAATTCTTCGCCTCCAATTCCATTCTAGACCCTCTTCAATCCAGTTTCTACCCTTTGCACTCCATTGAAACTGCTCTCACCAGTATCTAATGACCCCTTCACAGCCAAAGCTCAGAACTAGTACTCCATTTTCATCCTCTTTGACCTGTCAGCCACCTTCAACATAGTCAACTATGCTCCTTTTCTTGAAATCTTGTCCTTTCTTGGATTCCAAGACTCTGTTCTCTAATTGCTCATTTAGCTCCTCACTAACCCTAGGGTTACCATATCTCAAAAATAAAAAAAGAGGACCCTCCACGGGCCCTGGCCCCGCCCATTTCCCCACCCCTAGCCCCGCCCCAACCCCGCCCCCTCCTCCCTTCCACTCCCAGCCAGGGAGAAAGGGCTGCCCCAGTGCTACCGGCTTCAGGGTTTGCCGGGCAGCCCCCAGACCCTGCGCCCCCAGCCGGTGCTTCCCCAGCGCAGCTGGAGCCCGGGAGGGGAAGTGCCCAGCCGGGGGCGCAGGGTCTGGAGGCTGCCCAGCAAACCGTGAAGCCGGTAGCGCTCGGGCTTTGGGCAGCCCCTATGCCTCCGGACCCTGCGCCCCCAGCCGGGCACTTCCCCTCCCGGGCTCTGGCGGCGCAGGATCCGGAGGCACGGGGGCTGCCCAAAGCCGGTAGAGCTCGGGCAGCCCGGCTCTTAAACAGAGCTGAAGAGGAGCAGAGCCTCCCGGCATGGTGG